CCAGGGAAGGCAGGGCTGCACTTCATTCAGCCTGGTGTGTGACGTGTAGGGAAGGCCCATGGGTGGGGAGTGGGGTGTTACGGTGGCCTGGAGCATCTACACATCAGCAGGTTACCACAGCTGACTGAAAAATGCACAGGAAGCAAAGTGTTTCGAGGTATTGACAGAAGAGTGGGCCTTGGAAGCCCAGCCTGAGGAGAGAAGAAAAAAGCTCTGGAGTTTCCCAACCCCTAATGAGTCTCTGGAATTGTACTTTCACAGAAACCTAGAATTTTGTCTGAATTTGACAGGATTTTCCTAATGTTTCAAATATTACTCATGGAAGATGCTTACGCTCATTATCTTCCAAGATCTTGAACGGTAGCTAGCACCTTGCGTTTAGTATATCCCCAGCGAACGATCTGACTGAGTGAATCAACCATGTTCCCAAATGAGGAACGTGTCTTACATTAATTAAGATAGGAGTCAGTAATGTACAAGATATAGCCTATGTTTTCTTTATTACTGCCATTTGGCAGGTTGAGGATGAGAGCTTTAGCAATTCAAATCTCCCTCTGAGGTAAGCTTAGTAACTATCAAGATAGATCTTAGCAACTCTCTCTTGGGGTCCCCAAGGCTCACTAAACATTTTAAGAGGACACTGGGCATTTTCCTACTGGCTGGTGAGATAACCCACTTCCAAGTGTGAGAGGAAGTGCAGTCTACTCGGCATTGCTCTTGTAGATGGCCTCTGCAGTGGCTCCACCCCTGTGGCAGATGTCTGCCTGGGCACCCAGGCTTTTTCATACATCCTCTGGAATCTGGGTGGAGGCTGCCATGCCTCCACTGCTCTCACGTCCTGCCGGCCTGCAGACTTAACACAATGTGGATGCCACCGAGGTTTCAGGCTTCTGTTCTCCAGAGCTGCTGCATGAACAACACTTGAGACTTCTTGAAGTAGGGTTGCTCCAGCCAGAGCAGCTGGGATGCCGGGAGATGGTCCTGAGGGCAGCTGCACCCTGGGTCTGTCCTCTGAGACAACTCAGTCCTTCTAGGCCTCAGGGTCTGTGATGGGAGGGGCTCCCTTCCAGATTTCTGAAATACCTTCAGGGCTTTTCTCTCATTGTCTTGGCTATTAGCATCCAGCTGCCTCACTGCCAAGCTAATGTCTTATGCAACGAGTATTTCTGCTTCACCCGTGGGTTTTTCTCTGGGTCTCCACTTCTCTACCACATGGCCAGGCTGCAAATTTTCCAAATCTTTACACTCCACTTCCCTTTTAAATTCTGGCTTTACATCATGCCTTTGCTGCCATAACTCAGAGTAGGCTCTTAAAAGTAACCATGCAGCTTTCTTAATTCATTGCTGCTTAGAAATTTCTTCCGCCAAAGATTCTGGTTCACAACTCTTAAGTCTGACCTTCCACAAAGTCCAAGGGCATGGATACAATGTAGCCAAATTCCTTGCTATGGTGTAGCAAGGGTTATCTTTTGTCCAGTTCTCAGTAAGTTCCTCATTTCTATCTGGGACCTCATCATCTGCATGGTCTTTACTGTCCATGTTTCTATCAACATTCTGGTCACAGACATTTAACCAATCGCTAAAATGTTTGAAAGTTTCCCTCATCTTTTTGTCTTTTTATAAGTCCTCCAAACTCCTCTAACCTTTGCCTAACACCCAGTTTCAAAGCTGCATCCACATTTTCAGGTATCTATGTAGCAACATCCCACTCCTTGGTACCAATTTTCTGTATTAGTCCATTTATGTTGCTACAACAAAATACATGGAACTGGAGAATTTGTAAAGAAAAATGAAATTTATTGCTTACAATTTCTGAGGCTGGAAGTCCAAAGTCCATCAGGTGGTGGTGACAGTGACCCATGGGTCTCACATTGCAAGATGTGGAAGCAGAGAGAGAGAGACAGATTATACTCTTCTTTTAAAGCCCTCAGAACTATTCCCTTGACCACCATTTTTAATCCATTCACTACTGCATGGTCCTATAATCCAGTCACCTCTTCAAGGCTCCACCTTTTAATTACCATAATAGGATTTCCCACCCTCTTAATACATAATACTTGGGAAACACAATTCAAGTTCCAGTTAGTTATGGGGGGACATAATTCAATCCACTACACTCTGCCCCTGGCCCCCCAAAACTCATGTCTTTTCACATGCAAGTACAGTCATTTCATCCCCAAAGTCTTAACTTGTTTAAATTCAAAAAAGTCCAAAGTTCAAAATCCCATCTGTGAAATCAATATAAGTCATCACTTCCAAGATACAATGGTGGGACAAACATAGGGAGTATATCCTGTTCCAAAAGGGAGAAATAGGCCAAAAGAAAGGGATAACAGGTCCCAAACAAGTCCAAAACCCAGCAGGACAAGCATTAAATCTCAAAGCTGGGAAATCAGGTACCTTGATTCCATGTTTGACCTCCTCTGCATGCTGGTGTGGGGGCTGGGTCCCCAAATCCTTGGTCAGCTGTATTCCTGTGGCTTTCCTGGTCTCAGGTGATGCTTTAGTTCTTGCAGGCTGGCATTGCATGCAGATAGTTCCACAGATCTGGGGTCTCCATGGTGGTCCTGCTCTCACAGCTCCACTAGACATGGTGCTGGTGGGTTTTCTCTGCTGAAACTCTGACCCCATGTTTCCACTCAGCATTGCTCTAGCAAAAGTTGTCCATGGTGACTCTGCCCCTGTGACATATCTCTTCCTGGGCCCCAAGACTTTTCCATACATCCTCTGAAATTGGGGTGGAGGCTCCCAAGCCTCCACAGTTCTAGCTCTGCAAGCCTGCAGACCTAACTCCACGTGGATGCCACCAAGGCTTCCAGCATGTATTTTCTAAAGGTGCACACCCAGCCACACCTGGAGCCAATTTACCTATAGCTGGAGCAGCCAAAGCAGCTGGGGTGCTGGTGCTGAAAGCAGCTTCTCGAGGTGGCCCTGGGCAGCAAGCCCATGGAGGGTGCCTTGGGCCTGTTCCCCAAGACCATTCTGTCTCCCTAGGCCACTGGGCCTGTAATGGAAGGGTTGGTCCCAGAAGCTTCAGGGCCTTTCCCCTCCTTCTCTTGTTAATCCCATTCTTTTGTTTAAATCTTCTTAGCTAAGGGTCTCTGGGCTGCACTATTGCATGCTCTCTGTTTCTTTACCACATTTTCAAGTATCTGTTTGTTATAAGCAACACCCCATTCTCGGTACCAGTTTTCTGTATTAGTCCATTTTGTGTTGCTATAACAGAAATATCTGAGACTGGGCAATTTATAAAGAACAGAGGTTTATTTGGCTTACGATTCTGGGACAGCTGCATCTGGCATGGGCCTCAGGCTGCTTCTACTCATGGCAGAAAGTGGCAGGCAGCTGGCGGGTACAAGCAGATCACATGGTGAGAGGAAGCAAGAGAGAGATAGGGGAGGTGCCAGGGTCTTTTGAACAACCAGTTCTCGTGGAAACTAATAGAGTGAGAACTCATTCACTACCCCCATCCCCCAGGTAGAGCATTAATCCATTCATGAGGGAGGGATCTGCTGCCATGACTCAATCAGTTTCCAACACTTCCGCATTGGGGATCAGATTTCCATGAGTTCTGGGAGGACAAAACATCCAAACTCTATCACCAACATTTCAGGTTGTCCCCTTTATGGCTCTATCCCTCAGCCACTAGTGTACCTCCTTTGATCTTCCCCGACCCCAGATCATCAAAACATCCCTTTTGGCTGCTCCAGAACATGTAGGTATGGCTGTATGTGCAAAGTCATATTTTCAATTATGTGGCTCCATCTCTGTCTCAACTTATGGCTGCCAGTACAATGAAGAAGAGAAGAGAATTTTATCTCTACCCCCCTTGATGCAATAAGCATGATCTTCGGCTAAGTGTTTGCTGAATGAATAAAAGAATAAATGAGTGAACAGTGACAGTTACTACTCCAACTTTTTAACATACCCCAAGGAAGGCATTGTCTAATTTGGATTTTTTTTGTCATCTCAAATTTTTGCTATTATTCTGAAAATGTGTCTTGCTTGCTTTGTGAAAATATTGAGTGTTAAATTAAAAAAAAAATTACCTGCTGTATAAAATCATGAAAAAGGAAAGTGAATGATACATCATTTTGTATCATTCACTACTGTGAATCCACTACTGTGATCAACATTACAGATAAGTATCCAAAAAAAATTCAACTTTGTATTTGTAAATTTTTAAATAAGATAAGAGGAATCGTTCTCCTTCTATTAGTAAATGCTATGTTCACACATTATACAACAGTAAACTTCATTAGATTGGAATAATGAGTTTGGGAAGGTTGGGGGGAAAAGACAGCCTGGATCATGGAAGTCAGAATTTATTGAAAGCAATGCAGTTTTATTACTTTCAATACTATGATCTACCAATAAAATCTGTCTAAGGAGACATCTACTTAATGACATGAATCCTTATTTTATAGCCGAATCTTTTTGCCTAAAGACCCCTATATGCTAAAGCCATGAAAACAATGTGCTCTTTTTATGTGGGTTACAGAGGTTCCCTCTATTTTGCTTAGCAAATCCATCCCTTGACAACAATTCAAAGGTACACTTCAGCTTAGTCTAGATCAAGTTGTCAAAAATTGAGTATTATCTGAACTTATAAGAGTTCACTATATTCATAGAGGAAGACATTTTGGAAAATAAAGAATATAGTCCAATGTTTCAGGGAAGTGTTAAATACTTTTAAAATAAAAATAGAAAAAATGTAAACTTTTTCAAATAAGGTAAACATTAATTATTCATCAAGCTAAATACAGCTGAAATCTATTTTCAAAGCCTTTGGTGTCCTTTGTAAATTCCCTGAGGTCAAGGGTCACGCTATGCTTGCTTCTCTTTCTGCCTTGCCAAGACTTCATACTCTCCGACATGCCACCCAGGCTGTGCTTTCTGGTGATAGTACCTAAGACACTGTGAGGTTTTCAGATATTCTAGTAATTGGTCTGCTTATCTTTAACTACCCGAGACTCAGATATTATGAGGAGGTTACTCACTGATTCTGGATACAGGCTGCAAGTAATTTACTGGTTCCCATCCTGGAAGAAGAGAGAAAGAAAATTCAAATATTACCATCATATCCAAAGACATTTACAAAACTTTCTAACAGAGGGGCTTCAAAACCTCTAACATTTTATTTATAACAAAGAAAATCATGGGAAGAGGGAAGGTCATCAAACAAAATGTCATTTCCTATGTTTCTGGGTTAATGAAGAGATAACAGGGTTGGTGTCACTTATTAGGAAACCTGGCATTACACTCAACCTTTGCCACAGAAAATCTTGAGTTCTGTGCTAGTACCTGCTATGGCAGGGGGGTGGAGCTGGGGACACGTGGGTGGGCAGAGTTGGAAAATGACCCTCACAGGGAAGACGATTTCCCTCGATTCTTAGTGTTCTACTCCAGAAATGTATCAGCATGTTAATATACAATTATACTTCCTACTTAGTGGAGCTGGGGACACGTGGGTGGGCAGAGTTGGAAAATGACCCTCACAGGGAAGACGATTTCCCTCGTTTCTTAGTGTTCTACTCCAGAAATGTATCAGCATGTTAATATACAATTATACTTCCTACTTAAAATCTTTGCGTAAAGTTGAGTACTTAGGATAGATGTCTTTGGGTACAGTTGATACTCGGGATAGATATGCCACGCGTGTCTCCTGGCATGGAGTATCAGTGGCAGGATATTTTAGTCGGGGAAGCTTGGAAGAATAAATGAACTGAAATCTAGGATAAAAGAAAAAGGCTCTGAGAGAAGCAATCCCATGGATATTTAAAACATCCAGAACTAATAGTAGTTTATTCTGTAGCAAAGAACTGTAAGAAAGAAATCCTGGGATTTTCCTTGAATCAATAATTTTTCTTTTGATAATCAAGAAAGGCCTCTGTCTGCTGGATGAAGTTGGCCAAATGTAACATGGTATATTTCCTCTTGTTTAGTCGTCTGTGGGGAGAGCAGAGCCTCCACTCATTCTGAGAACCATTCTAGCGAACTGCAAGGAGGTAATTGTATGGCTATTCAGCCTTTGGCTTTCTGGGTTACACAGTTCCAATTCTTCCCTTAAATAATATACAAGAGTTCATCAAAAAGTTCATGAAAAGACTCGTACTCTTTTAGTTCTATTTTCCTGCCAGCTTTTTGAAGTATCCTTATATTATAAATATAAAATATATAATATATCATAATACGTGTTAATGCTGTATACTATACCACATTATATTTTATATAATATATAATTATAATGTAATATGTTATATCCTATATATTGCATACTATATATAATATATTATATTCTATATTTTATACATAGATAGGCAATGTTTTACTCTCTGCATGTTTTTAAAAATAATCCCTTTCAGAATATGTTGATTAAAACTTGAACAAGTACTCAAGAATGGTGTGGCTTAAGTGGAGGTAGGATTAATTCTCAGTCCTGCTATCCTACTCATTTAAATAATCTACTCTCAGTATGACTCATGCTTTTCTAACCCTAATTAAGACAAAATTCTTATTGGCTCTTGACTTTTAAATCAATCTTTCACCACATTTTTGCTCAAGTATACCAATTTATACTTGCATCAGTGAAATGCTACTCTTCTTTTAGAATGATTTAAAAAACATATCCAAGGGCGTTTTGAATTGTATTGTTATGAGTTTCCTAATATAAGGTATCAGCAGCTCTACTTGGTTTAATCATTTCTGCATTTTGGAGGAAGGTATTTATAAGTCATTTATATAGCTCATCAATAAGTTATAGACCTTTCAGTGCAACTGATCCCCACAGATTGGAACTTGATATGTAATCCATTGTTCTAAGTCACTTTAATGTAACTGTAACTCTATATCTACCTGTTCACCCATGCAGCAGTAGCATGATTAGGGTCACAGTTGCACGGCTTAGTGATAAGAATATTGTTTAGGCTAGAACTCGAAGTCTTTCTCCATACAAAATTGATTTTATCCAGCATCTTATTATTTATGTAGTCTGTCACTTAATCATGGAAGAAAATTAAATTGGCATGGAAAAAATAGCTACTCAAAAAATCAAATATGCTGGCTGCTTTATCTTTTTTGATATTCTGGTGACTTGCTTTGACTGTGTGAGGCATTGTTGTCACTAGGTACTGCTTTTAAGCTCTCTAGCTTATCATGATCAAGTCATTTTCTTAGAAAAATGTGGACAAGACAGGCTCTTTGCCCCATCTCCTTG